CCCCCCCCAAACAATCTCTTCGTCCATAACTATCTCCACTCACATTATCTCATAATTATGACCCTTAAAAAAAACAGTTCTTCATGATTTATTCAGATGTAAATAATTAGTCTATTTCAAATAATAAATGTCATCTTCATCAAGTTTCGTCGCCGCTTTTATATGTCCACAAAGCTTTTGTCCAGTCGATCTGGCGGTTCCACAACACGGCCATCGTTTACGAGAAACGCCTCTCCAACTGCATGATGCAACTGTGTCATGCATGGCGACATTTCAAATTCTTTAGATGCATTAAATATTTAAAACTCGATCAACTACTGGAGAAAAACAAGTACGAATGACTAAGCTGCGGGCCTAAAAGCTAGTCTCTGTTTTCCGGTTTTGGCCACTAGTTGGCAAAACAAACTTTCAAGTTGTGTGTTAATCGACACGTGTTTCAGGAGGCTTCACACTGTCATATTGAAAAGAGGTTTGCCTCAGAGTGTACTATCACCGATACAAAGTACAAGAAAAAAGGAAACATTGAAAAACAGAAGTGCGATTTTTCATAACGTTCAAGGCGGATTAACCTAATCTGACTTGCTCTCGGTAACAGTGGAGTGAATTTCTCAAACCCAATGTTTGCAAGCATGGTTATCTCCGCTGTTCTTCAAGACAAGGTGGACTTCATTTTCACAGCAGAAATGTTCAAATTGCGTGGGAAGGCCATCATCTTGTGACTCCCTGGTAACATATTTACAAACACAGCTTGCCATTAAGTTCCCTCCGCTGTCTTCTCGTCAGTATAACTGGGCCGTTCTGGTCCTGTTAGTGTGGTTTCCAACCTGCATGTCCAGTATTTCAGCCAATTCACTCGCTGTTAGAGATGACTGTGAGTCCCCTTCCACAATCACAACTTTTGTTACCAGATCTGTGGGTAACAAAGTTCCCTTCTTTAATTTGGCAACCGCGTTCTGCGTTTGCTTCGGGTAGTTCACAATGTATTCTTTCGTCACCAAAACTTGCTTCTGCATAATGTAAGTAGCTCGTGAGATCGGCAAGAAATTTCTTCCCAAGACGTCGTTTCCTTCACACACAATTTCAAAACCTCGGGTGTTTCTCGACTGTCTTAAACGTGGATTAAACAAGTTGCAAAGAAGGTTGTCGCTCTAGACTCTCGTGTATCGAGTTTGCACAGACATAGAAAACAGCTTCGCCCCAGCTTGTGTACTATTTTGTGGGAATGAGGGTGGTCTTAATAACAACAAATAACAACAATCTGATTGGCTGACAGTCACCTGGCACCTGTTAATGCCAGTGGTGATATCATATTGACTGTTGCCAGCTTTTTCATCACCTGATTATATCCGACTGGGCACTTTAAATGCTGTTTATATCAACAATGAACCAAATTTATCATTTGGCTCCTTCAAGGGAAAAACAACAATTAGCGGGATAACTTTCGCCAACCCATTTTACAAGTATCGGTCGGCCTCAAACCACAAACAAAACAATCAACAAATCTTGCTATAACTGTTTCGTTACTCTAAGACAACAATTTTATGCCATATACAATATATGTCTTTTTTTTTAATTAAGGACTTTGGATAATCAGATAGATACATGTTCTCTTGTCACATCAACTTTATAACTTAAAAATGCTATTTGCCATTTCCTACCCAAAACTCTCGCTCACATGCAAGCAAATAAAATCAATGTCTTCTGCAACTTGAGGGAGGTTTTTTTTTATAACTCGCTGTAAAACCTGGCGCTACTCCGAAAAAAATTTCCACTGATCGCCTATTTTCGACGATTTTTCTGGCGTTATTGTTTGGTCAAGTGCAGAACACATCAAACGGTATAGCATTGTTGGCAAACTTGGCGCAATAAAATGAAGAAGAATTCTTGAAGAGCCAAAACTGTCACCAAATGGCAATCGAATGTTCAACACGAGACAGACGGTTTTGTGTCAAAGGTAATAAAAACCAAGACCGTCTGCACAGGGTTTTTATTATTAAAAGCTCAGAAAAAAATACCAAGCTTTATATCGGAGAAGTTAGTCGTTATGTACGGTCAGCGGTGGGTACTCAGATTCGTCATCCAATCTCAAGTTTCCAGATCCCTGAGGGTCACCAAAGGCAGTGGCGGTTTGGGAAAAATCACCCGTGGCTACTCCTGAAGGTGGAGAGTTTTGACTGGTCTGTGAAGATGCCCGGGCTCTCGTGTCTTGGGATTCTTCTTCCTTGTTTGATGGAGAAGAACTGGGGTCTGTGGGGGAGTTCTCTTCTTCCTGAAATTAGACACGCAATTATTAAGTAACTCATTTTTATTGCTTAGTTCGTAGTGAATAGGAGTAATGTTCTGAAGCTGGTTCTTCAAAGTTAGAGTAAGCCAAAGAAGGATTATCAAAATCAATAATCTGAGTTATCCATGATCACATGTTTCCCATCATTTTTCGCATAACACATTAAACTTTAAACATCTCTGATAATCACAAAAAGTATCAGAGTGCCAAGGTATTTAGCACTGCTTGGCTAATTGTGAACACTACATCACCAGACAAATATTGAAAATTGAACAGAAATTTGATAAAAATCCCAACTGGTTGGAGGCTGACTAGTTGAATTAACAAAACGTGGAGGAGGAGGAACACCCAACACAAATCCATCAAATGGCAGGGAGGAGGATTGCAAGACAAGCACCCTAACCACTGGGCCACGTCGTCGTCGTCGCCGCCGCCGCCTCCTCCTCCTCCTCCTTCTCCTTCTACCCTTGACTCTTACTCCTTCCTTCTTTTCGAAACGACAGAAACAAGGACTGCGGGTTAACTCATCCGCATTGTGGATTAGCGTTTATGAGCTTGGAACAACGGGCCCGATCTGACAGTGTTTTATGAATGCGAATCGATGAACACAACGTTCAAAGAACGTTCAAACAGTTTTAAACCAGCAAAAATGTCAAAAAACATTCTTATTTTTCCAGTAGACAAAAGGATCTCATGATACTTGATTTTAGAAAACGGCAACAGTTTTTATTTTTGGAATTCGCTCTTCGTGAAAAAAAGATGACAGGCGTAACATTTTAGAGTTTTACTCACCAAGGGTTTATCAAGACCTTCAGCTTGACCAATTAACCTGAAAACACAATATCAAACGTAAAACTGAAAATACACCAAAAAGCAAACCAACTGTGCGTAGCGTTGTTAAAACAAAATACAGAACCTTACCTATGTTGCTTGAGAAGCGTACAGTCCCCTCCCTCCTCGGGGTCGATATTGTAGATGTAAAGGTAACCGTCTGCGCTTGACACTAGCAGTCGAGGGAGCTTGCCGATCCTGTGGGGGAGAGGGAACGTCGTAATTAAAGGAGCTCAGTCATGGTATTTTGAATTATTTTGGCCATGTACAAAATTACCTTTAAATGAAAGAAAACCTGATAATAGTAGTTTACTAAGATGCAAAAACACCTAGGATATAATAACTAACCATAAAGGAACAAGGATGGTTAAGGATGGAGAAGATTAACACGGATTACAAACGACGAACTTGAAAAATATAGGCAAAACTTTTCAAGATGCGCAGACCGTGACGTAGCTCCTTTAAAAGCGTGTAAAAAAAAAAAAAACTCATGTCCAAAAGGATAGTGGGTACTATACAGTAAGTACTGTCAGAGATCAATTCTAATTATTTTATTGCGCTTTGTGAGGAAATTTTGGGAGGGCTGGAGAAAACGTCTTCTCAATTGAAACAAAAACTAAGGAGTCAACGGAGAAGTAAAATCGTCAAAATCTATGCTAATTTAGACCGGGTATCCAAACCTCCTTCAGGGTTGCCATTTTCTTTGTTTTTACTTGATGAATTGTTAATAAGATCGACAAAATTATTTCATATACTTACATTGCTATGGCACAGACGTTTCTAAGACCTGGAAGAAAAATGGAAATCTATTTATCGATATACTTGGAAATTGACAAACAAGGCTGCACTTACAACAGCAAGTCAGCATAATTTCAAGCTTAATATCGGGAAAATTCAAAACCACGCGAATAACTTGCAAAAAATAGTCTTCTGCTACGCTAAGAGAGCACCAGACTTGTGATGAAACTGAGATAAGCTCCAGGTTACTACCGTACCTGCTTGTGGTAATCTGACGCTAGCAAAAGCTCTCTCTTGGTTGAAAACCTCAGCGACCTGCCAATGGTTTAAAAGAAATTGAGACATGAGAAAGAGGTTTTTTCCAGTACGGTCAGCGACACAGGCGTAAATCGGAAAACCAAATTCAAGTTCTGCAGCTAGAAGTTGAACCTACTCCAAGTTATTTTGCCTAAGGGCAAAATTATTTTTGAACTAAGGGACAAAAAAAAGCTACCAAAAATAGTAGTTTACTAAGATATAAAAACACCAAAGAGATAACAATAAACCATAAAGAAAGGATGGTAAGGGATGGAGACGATTATAAACACGGATTACAAACAAAGAACTTGAAAAAATTAGGCAAAACCTCTTCAAGATGCGTAAACCGTGACTTAGCCCCTTTCAGAGAGTTTTGGAGAAAAACTTAAAAAGATAGTTTTGGTGAACGAAATCGCACTTTGAGAACAAAGTGTATTCCACCTTCCGTGCCATTTTTATATCTGTACAGACTAAATTCCTAACTGCATTGTTCCTAGACCAGTTCTAGCCTTCTCTCCGTCAGGCAACGTAGCGTTGACAGAGAGAGGGTCAGGCCGGAACTCGACTACAGTGTTCCAAGCACCAACACATACTTACATGAACCGGAAGATAGCTACTGGGATTTAGCGCTTTGCCAAAATAACCCATCAAACCGCCTGCTTCATCTGTAGGCCTAGAATTTGCAGAAACGATCAAGAATTGTTGATACACGTTAACAAGGTGAAACTCCACATTAGCGAAATATAGTAATACATAGCAAAAAATAAACAAAAGTTATCCTGCGAAATAAATTTGAAAGTAGCCTAGTGAAAAGGTTTCCCTGTGATTTGAGTTTCGACCTGAAATATTTCAAAATCTTTAAGATAGCTCTACAAAGATTCGTTTAGAGTCTTTCTCTGATTGATTTTCATTGACTTGTACACAAAAATTCAATCAAATTTTGGGGCTGAAACTCGGATATTTCCAAAAAAAAGAGGCAGATAGTACTTACTCGTTCTTTGGAGCTTCAAGTTTGAAAATGTGCACAGTTTCTGTATTGCTTGAGGCACACAGGAATAGCGAGTCATGACTGAATGCCAGTGAGTTAATGGTAACACACCTAAACGAACACACAAGGATAATCACATTGTCAATACTATACCTTCACTATGTTGAGAATGAAATAATACCACTGAGCAGGTAAAAAGCCTGTAATACCGTTTTACTCCTCGTCGAAATTCATAAAGCTTTATTCCATCTGGAATTGAAAACACTCTAATAACTGTTCCCTGCAGAAAAAAAACAGATTATATCAGTTAGTAACCGTTCATTTATATTGAGCCTGGGAGGGAATAAAGTTCTGGAGAAATAAATTGTTCTTGCTCTTTTTTTGGTGGTGGTGGAGGGGGGGGGGGGGGAGTCTATTTGACCTCAATAGGATAAAATGGGAGTCAGTAGCTTACAACACAGTGTTATCTTTAAAAAAACGTCAAGTGATCTATCCGGTTATCACATATTCAAGCCTACAATTATTGTGGTTATAAGTTAGATCTTTTCCAAATTCAAGCACGGAATACTATAATTAAATGCATCTGCCACAAGTCTTAGAAGTGTGTTAGTGTTAGATACTGTGGCGGGAGGTTTTTTTTCCACGTGTCACTTCTTAGGTGAGCGTGGGAAGGGTGATTCTTTTGTTTTCTTTTTAGTGGGGTTAAGAATATGTAAGAATAATATAATAATAATAATAATAATAATACCTTATATTTTAAATCATTTCATTTTAAAACGTCTGTAGACATGTCAGGTAAGGAAACTGTCCTACCAGTGGTTTGAAATGCATTTTTAAGACTAATTTACTAAAAAGAACTTCTCACCTTTTCTGATGCTGTTGATAGCTTTGTGCCAGCACTGTTAAATGCCATGGCAGCTACAGGTGAATCATGAGCTGGAATCATTGTGACTGCCCTCTAAAAAGGAAAAACAAAATACCGGAGAGCCTGAATATACAAGATTCTATGGAATGCTAGTATAAATCTACTAGTGTTCTAGCACAAATGCCATTCTCTGATTGGCTACACAACTCACTATCTATTCTGTGATGCATAGTGAGTAGCACAGCAGTGTGCCCTAGCTAATAAAATGACAGCCGCTTCTTGGCGTTTTCTAAGTGTCTGTGAGGAGGATTTCAATAAAGTTTTGAATGACTAGTAGATTTGTACTGAAACAATTAGATTATTCTCTCTTGATTTCTATATACTCAGGCTGTGCCCTGATCATCTATCATGCAATAGAAATCTCGAGCTCATAATCTAATTGTTAAGATGGATTCCGCTCAAAGTTCAAGCAATAAGTGCAAAAAGTATTTACTAAAAATCTGCTCACAGCACAGTAACTTTTTGAATACTATTTAAAGCAACTAACTTTCGTTAATTTCTCTAAGTGACCCTGCAATTAAATTCTCAAGCATTCTCGAGAACGTTAATGTCAAACCTCGTAAGAATGCTTGAAGTGTGTGTTGTGCTTTGAACTAATGCGAAACGTCTGTTTTAACTGAAATATAGAAAACTTCAAGTTCAATTTTCTCTCGATAAGTTCTTCTTAACTGTATTCAAAATATTACCATGCCATGAGGTTTTTCTGGTAACTTAATTTTTGCCATTATAGCTCGAATGTTCTGCAGAAATCATCTTAAACAGTATCTTTACTTTGCAATTCTATATTTTCCTGTTATTACAGGCATGTCTAATAGGTAACCAGAAATATTAGGTACAATTTATCATCTTTGCACCTATCAAGGTACATATAAATAGTACACGCGTATTTCTCCTTGAAACAAACTGATTGCCAGAGACACGCTAGCGCTTGAGTTCTGATTTTGATTCAGGGAAAGCAAAACTGTGGAAGTCTTTAATCACGACATCACTTTCATTACCTACCAAATTTACACAATCAAATATCTGGACTTCACCAATCTGTAAACAAAACAAAATTACAACAACTAAAATTGATATTTAAATTTATCAAAATTGTAACCATTATTATTTTAATGAAGTACCACCACGTGGAATTGTCTAGTGGTTAGAGCATTTTCAGATCAGGGCTCTGGATTGAGTGGTCTGGGTTTGAGCCCTGGCTCGGGTCACTGCACTGTGTTCTTGGGCAAGGTACTTTCAAACTGTTTACAAATGATTACTGAAAAATTGTTAAGGCCATAGATCTGTAAACAAGGTTTTAGTGGGGAAGGGGTATCTGTGATGAACTAGTGTCCCATCTGGGAAGGGGGAAGAACAATACCCTACAGGAGTTAGTAAGAGCAGCCTCTGGAATCTGGTGATAAGGACTGGCCTATTTATTAGCCTCCCAAGCATAAAAAAAAGACTCTATCCTTATCCTCAAATTAAACAAGGATTAAAAACACAAATGCTCAGATACATGTGTACCTGATTGCTTCCAGGATATGCAAGGTAGCAGTTATCAGAGTTGACAGACAGAGCACATAGACCTAAGAAAAAGAACACCTTTCAGCAATATTCTGTGCTAAATTTAAACAATTTGTGTCAAAATTAGTTTTTTTTTAAAAATAGGAATTAAAGTAAAAATGCTATTCCACAGTGTGACTGTATATTAAACCAAAGTTACATGTATTTCAACATCGTCATGGAAAACACTCTTCTCTTGCCTCTAAAGGCAGAGACATTATTCAAAAAAAATATTGAAATTCTTTTAACCATGTGGCTTAGGATTAATCCCTTTGCCACCCTCTCATGTCTAGTTTTAATACTTGATATCTTTCACTACCCCTTAAGGTAATTCCCCTGAAATAAAACTGCCTATAGATTTTTGTTCAAATTTTGTCCACTGAATATTTATCATATGAGAACTTTAATTATAAAATAAAAAAGGGGGTGCCCATGCTCGTTAAGGAGCAATGAGGCATTAAAAATGTCCCATTTTAGCATTATTTAATGCTTATTACAAGAATGCATTCCAAGTTATCGTAAACTCTTTGTGAGCCCAGACTCATGAAAACACACCTCAAACTACAGTCAATACTTGTGTCGGACACAAATAAACATTTTTAAGTGATTTTGACAGACAGCTGAATCTTTGTTAAAATATTGGAACCAGATTGCTTGCCACGGCTATCAAACTGCAAAATAGAAAAGACTACAGTGCAGCTGCTATTTTTCTTATTTATTCAATTTTCAAACATGGAAATCAGATCAGTCTTTTCTCACGTAAAGCTAATGATTAGTTGATTAAAATGATTGGAAAAAAATTTGGGGTGCCCGAGCTCGTTAGTGAGCTATAGCCATTTTTCAACTGACTGAACTCAATATCAAGGCAAATCCGCCATGTTTTCAATGTGCGCGTGCACGGACGCGCGCTAATGACGCCATAAATTAGGATGCGCAATGCAATACTGGGGAATGACCATGCTTTCGGCGAACGAAGCAAGAAAGGTAACAAATCTCTGTTTGTGAAGTCTTACATACGAAATCCTTCTGGTTCAAAAACGTTAAAGGTAATAGTTCTTCTGAGCTTTAATAAAGGAAGTTTTATCAAATATTGGTAGCCTCTGATGAATTATTTCAGTTCCCGGGTTTTAGTTTTGCTCGAATGCTTGTCACTCGATCGCGAGTTGAACACCTGAAGGACTTGAAGAAACAGCCGCTCGAGGAAAACATTGCATCGTGCACAGATATAAGCTTACATTCAGTTTTTGACATTTTCCTTTAGGCTTCAGTCTTCTGTTCATTTAACCTTATTTTACCAAGTAACGAAAGTGACAGATTATTTTTAAAAGCCATTCGTGTGTTCAATTTCAGCCTTAGACGCGCAACTCATCAAATTTAAAACGAGGTGGGAAGGAAAACGTAACCCACAAACCTGCAATTGAATAAGAACATCTCAAACAGCTCAAAGCCAGGGGTGTTTGTTCGCTTTCTTCCCCAATATCGCTTTTAAGAAATGTCTGGTTCCATATTGTTCTTTTCTTTTGCCGAAGAGTCCGTGAAGGACAAAGAGCTCAACCACCAGAAGCTTCAACCGGGTGAAGTTTGTTTTCAATTCTTCGGAAAACTGATCCAAATTTAAACTTAACCAATTTTTGAGAAACGCTTTTACCGACTGCAATTTTCGTTTGTTGCCAGCTTGATATTTAGGTCAACCGAGCAGTTTGAAATTGTTTGTTTGCCCTAGAAACTATTAACTCGCCGCGATCCAAGAAAAGTTTTGATGTGTCACTTTATCTAAGCACTCAAGAAGCTAGAGTCGCACTCGGCTATCGCCTCATGCGACTCTTACGCTTCTTTCCCGCTTAGCAACCTCCCACGTACATTCATAACTCGATAGTTGCACGCTGCACGCTTATCATTTCTTAATCAGTTAACATCGTTGACTCGGCCTAACACAATTATTCGATAACAATATTGTTATATTTAAAACGTCGCTGTGAGTTCTGACGCTAACTTCGCTGGCGTGAAAATTTAGAATTTGTGTATAAGTTCATAACCATTTTAAACCCTAACGCTAACTCTAGCCCTAACCCTAACCCTAATTCCGCCACTGTCTTTGATGCCTCGCCGTTTTCATGTGGAAACAAGTTTGATCAATGTCAATATACTCATGCTAACAAATATGCTATTTACCCACGTTCACCGTTCGAGGATATTCATAGTTCACGTGTCTTAGCAAAACTTCATCATGCTAAACTGGGTAAATAGTGTTTGCGTCAAAAAGCAACAGTTTTCAAGGTAGCTTTCGCCACTACGCAATTAGGCAATGACTTCAGCTTGAGTTTTTCATTCACTCTAAAGATTTATACCGAAGCCATTAGAAAAGCTATCAGTAAATAAACTGCATCTTCTCACGGCTCAGTAAACATTTCAGCATTCAGCTGTGTTTAACTGCCAAACTGAAAGGTAGAAATCTAGATCACGTATCGATAAAAGAAAAAAGGCATAACAGCGGTTCGATAGTTTCTCAGCTATCACTGACCGGCACAAGACTCCCGGGAGTTGGTGTCCCACGATAGTCTAGTTTTCAGTGTCATTATCTCAGGTAAGTTAAAAAGAAGAGTGAACTGTTTTAATTAATACTTAAATTATCTTTAATTTTTTTTTTCTCGGCGGCGATGGTTTGCAAGGACTTAATAAAATGTTTGCAAACTAACTTGAAACATTAAGAGGTAAAAGAACTAAGTTCCTTCCATGAGTCTGTCTTTTTATTCCTGCGCGGTGCCCTCATAGTTAGTGCGTATTGAGCGGTCCGGGGTCATTGTGCAATGCCCTTCGGGCAAGACACTATACTCTCAAAGTGCTTCTCTCACTCGAGAGTATAAAGGGTATCAGTGATCTATAAGGGCACACTGAACACACTACGCCGGAGAAATTCGAAAACGCACTAATCCGTCACGAAAAGAGAGCTTTCCGAAAACGATGACGTGACGATAATCATGTGATTTCCCTGTTCGCCAACACTCATAGGCCGTACAAACATGCAACGTGGATGATTTTGTTCAATGTCCTTTTGTTCCGACACATGCACAATTATACTGAACAAAATGCAGTACAAAAGCAAAAAATTCTAGTAAATTTAAGAAAACCTTTTGCGGGTGGCAAACACTATGAGATACTAAAACTGAACTATACATTAGACTTACAAAACATCATGATAAGAGACTATTTTCCCTTTTTCCCTGTTCACGTGCCTCCTTTGCATTGCAATATAATTCAAAATCTCTGTGAGACAATTCCAGGCAATGTTTGTAGTTTCTGCCCGAAATTGCCTCTCATCCAAGTTTAATTACAATGTAATACAAATTAAAAAAGCTATTATGTTATATAACTTTCAAATTAGACTCCGTAAAACTTTTTAGGTAAAATTACTTATGTCTCAATCGGTAGTGAGTTTTAGCACCAGAGGATAAAATGTAATGTATGTGTTCATATTAGAGTCAGGAAAGTTTAAAAAAGATCAACAAAGTATTCGCAGAAAGCAATTAAAACTTATAATGCCCTGAAACAATGTGAAGTGCCTTTTTGGATCTGTCAATGTAGCCAAGCTTGTCTCGAAAATACATACTCAGCCATGCGAAAGCCCAATACCACCTCATTTGATAATCGTTTCGCTATTCCGGTTTCAATGCTAACAATCACTGAGTGCAACTGATCGGTTCAGCGTAACACAATGCAACTCATACAAGCCTCTTTAGTTTAGACAAGTGCTGTTTACATTTCTGTCATTTCGAAGGTAGATTTGTCCAATTACCAGCTACCATTCCATAGCTATCAGGCAGCACTTCGATTATTTCCTATTTCAGACTCATTGGGTTTATTAATATGCTTTCGCTTGCTTTGTTTCACTGCAGTTTCTGTACTGGAGCAACGAAAACTGCGCCGCCACACCCGAGATAGGTGTCATTTCATAGTGAATACAGTGAAAATTAAAATGTCTATAAAATTGTTTCCGGAGCCCATCGCTCAAAGGCTATCAGTTGTTTCGCCAAGATATACTCAGGGTTACTAGCCTTGTTCTGATATCTTACACGCAATCAATATATTGAGCTTAGGTGCAATGTTGTAAACAACTACACGTAAAGAACTACAACGTCCCCTGTAGACCTCGGAACAAACGACAGCAATGAACAGACCCAAGTTATGCTTTTTCAAACAAGGCCTCTCCACAAATATCACGTAAAATCGTTTAACTATCTCTCCGGAAATTCTCAAAAATGTTTCTAAATATCACAAAAAAAAAATTATAAATATCCCCGAAAACCTCTAAATACCTTTTATTTTTTCCCTCAAAATACACCGTTTTTGAATCACTTAGACCAAAACTTTCAAAATTTTATTGCAGCAATGGGAATTGGGGAGAAAGATTCAGGTACCTCGATATTTCCAGCATCTGCCATTTAGGAAAATTACTGCTTTAGCGCTTTTAGTGATATGGAATATATTTTTCGAGTTAATAATCGCTGAACTGGATTGTTTCTGGCATAGAACTGAATATTGATTCAATAAAAAATGCCATGAATATATCCAAATATCTTAATTTTCTAAATATCTTCTTATTTTCTGAATATGTCGGAAACCTTTAAATATCCCAAACAAAATCCGGATATTTGTGGAATTGAAGGCTTTAACGTGACTATGGCGAAATTTCTAGCTTAGGGATTACTTCCATAAACGAGTTCATGGCTCCACTTTTAAAGGGCTTACTTAATATACCTCCCACGTGAAATATTTGCATATGCTAAACTCGATAAAAACCAACCCACTCCTGACACGTACATTTGGTCAAAAATGTATCGGCCCGTTGTTGATGAGTATCTATAAAAAGGGCTGTCAAGGAGTCGGCCTCAGCTTGTAGGGACAAGATCAGAAAAATAGGAAGACAACAAAAAGGTCTCTTTCACAAAGACGAAGAGGAGAGAGGTAAAAAAGTGAATAATCCTTAAAAAATTACTTCTTTCACATCAAACCGTTGCCATGCAGGCAAGGAAAGGAAGCTTGGCATTTAGTAAGAAAAATAATTATTCTGACAACGAAAGCCACAGTTTATTACAAGTCGACGAAAGTTTTCCTGGAAAAAAATCTGATGAATTTAAATAGATGATTTATTCATACTTCTGGGATAGTTTTTTATAGTTACATGTTGAGTGTGTCTCAAGAGTCTATTTAAGTGTCACT